GTGGAATCTAAAGAACTTAATAAACTGATGAACAGAATAGATTCAATGACATGGAAGCATGGATGAGACTGACGAATGTCAGAGGGAGGGAGGAGGGCGGGTGGGTGGAGGGGGAGAGAGTAACCAAAGAATTTATATGCATATATGCACAACCCAAGGACATGGACAATGGTGGGGAGAGGGACTGGGGGGGATGGGACGGAGTGGAACGGGTCATTGGGGAGAAAAAGAGACATCTGTAATATTTTAAACAAACAAAAAAAGCATTTTGTACAAATTACACACACTATTTTGTGCTTATGTCACATTGGATGTAATTTAGCCACATCTGCTTATCTTGCTGCAAGGGAGTTGGGGAAAGTTGTCTTTGTTCTGGACCACATAGTCCAGTTGTAATCTGTGGGTCCTGTTGCTGAGGAAGAGGAGACTGCGTATGGGGGAGCCCTGGCAGTGTCCGCCTGGGCTTCCCTGCCTTAGCAGTGACCACTGCACTGCAGCCAGCTCCCCGCTTCTTACTGAGCTGTAGATTGCTTCAGCCAGGGGCTGCTCTTTTACCTCTTAGCATAGGCGGGTGCTTAATATTTGTTGTACAAATAAATGATTCTAGTGCAACTGTCTTACTTTAAAAATTAGAGAAGCCAGTCTATCACACAGTCTGCACAGGACATGATCCTTCTGGGGGTGTGGGGAATGGACATTGGAGGCTGAGGGCCCTGGGCAGAGAGATGACCCCACCTTCGTCCGGAAGCCGCCTGGGTTGAGCAGAAGCGAGCTGATGACCCTCACACATTGCCAGGTCTCCAAAGGACTCCTGCCCCAGCACTTTCTCAGTGGTGGGTGAGGAAATGACTTTCTCTTTGTCTGGACTTTGCTTCTTTCACATGTAAGGACAGACATGCTCTTCACAACACAAAAGCTGCAAACACAGGTTAATGTCATGCTGGAGGCTGGAGAATGCACGCCACAAGTCCCCTGGGTGCCTGGTGGATTTATTAGTTGACCTGTGAGAGTTCCAGTGTTTCCTCATGGCGATCCCCTTGCCCTTCCCAAGGGAGTCCCTTGATGTTGAAGACACCCTCACACTGTGCCCCTGCTGGTATTTCTGTCTTGGTGGATGATCCGATTGGAAATGGGGGTGCGGGGCCCTGGCTGGTGTGGCTCAGTGGTTAGAGTGTTGCAGGTTCCATCCCTGCTCTGGGTGGGGGCACGTGCGGGAGGCAACTGATCAATGTGCCTCTCTCATCTCTCTTTTTCTTCCTCCTCCCCTCCCTTCCACTCTCTCTAAAAATCACTGGAAAAAAAAAAAAAAAAGGAAATAAGAAATGGGGGTGTGGGAGGGGCTCCTGCTGCTATTGAGCAGGAATTCCATGCCCTAAGGTGGGGCCTGAGGTGGCTGAGGGGGTGAGGAGTGGGGAGCAGATGGATGAGATGGGCCCTGGGGCTGTGTACAGGAACCAGAACTGGCCCCAGCCCTCTTTATAATTAGCCAAGTCCCTGCAGCCATCCTGCAGCCTCCATGAGACCTCCCAACTGGACCAGAGAGGAGCTGGTGGCTGTGGCGCCTGCCCCTGCAAGCCCTCAGCAGCCCAAGCCCACAGCGCAGTCTTTCTGGGCTGGCTTACGTTGGAGGCCTGACGGCTCTGACTTTGACTCACAGAGCCCCTTTTGGGGCCCCGGCCCAGGCCCGTCTTCTTTCCTGCCTTCCTATAGTCTCCAGTTCTTGGATGGCCTCTGTGGCTTCCGCTAACACCAGCCCTGCAAGCCTCAGGCTCTCCTCCCGAGCATGGGAGGGCAGTGCTGTCCCTAGAATCCTTACAGAGGGGGGTCCCTCAGTTTCTCAGGGAGACTGCACCCGGGTGACCATGAGAGGTGTTGCACAGGTACCAGGTCTCCTGGTGCTCTCAGCTGGTGCTTCGCACCTGGCCTCCCTATTCTAGCTTTGCCTCTGTCTGCCACCTGGGTGGCATTGGGCTCCCTGCTCCCAGTGGCTCTCTCCATTTTCCTGGCAGAGTGCTTGTGGGGTCTCCCTCTGGAGGTTCCAGGCTGGCTGTACCGTGCTTAGTGACCATCGCCCACACGGGGAGGGGTGGGTGTCACAGTGGGTGGCCCAGGCAGCCCTTCTCATCTGCAGGCTTCTGCCTTCTTTGGGCATGGTCATCACAGGGGCTGCTGCAAGACACAGGCATTGCTGGGAGGAGTAGAAGCTGGTGGCATGAATTTAGATGCTAGGTCTTTTAGCAAATGCTCAAAAAGACTCCTTTTATCCAGAGCTAAACAACAAATGAGTCAACCTCTGGGTAGTTGCCACCCTCCTCCCTCAATTCCCTGCAACAGCAGGGAAGGTGTCTGGGAGCTGCCTCACTCTGCCAGCGCCTGGGACCTGGCACCAGCGTGTGATCCTGTCCTAGCATCAACCCCAGGACAGCTTCAGTACTCTCTCCCACCCCCTCCTTTCCATGGCCTTGTTGGATGGAAGAGAGGCCGTCCTTGCACCCTGATGATACGGGCGGCTCCCACACGCCCACTCCTGCTGCTTCTACTGGCCCTAGCACTTGCCCTCTCCATAGCAGACATAATTTGAGGGGGCATTTCCGAGAACCAGATCTGAGAAGAAAAAGTGGACTCCACATCTTAGTGCTTGTTAGCATATTTCAGAGCCAGGGCCATGTGGCTCGGTCCGCACACGGGCAGGTGAGTCTGTCATTACCGCCAGATGAGTCAGCAGAGATGGAACATTCATTTATTTGGGCAAATGTGTCATGTGAGAGTTGTTCAGAGTCGTCCAGCATGCATTGGTCCACCCCAGGGGCTGGGGGAGGGGAAGGGCTGATGAAAGCAGGGAAGAGGGACAGCAAGAGGTGGCAGGTGGGGCCTCCTGGACGCGTGGTTAAAGGAGGCGCCAGGACGACAGATTCCAGAGGCTTGGTTTTATTGTGCAGCTTTCTTTTTCCTCAGTGAGATGCTGTAAGCTGTGGTGGCACTATGCATGGCCACAGGACAGGGCAGAGCTGCTGGGTGGGGAGCTGGGTGCTGGGAAAAGTCATTTCTCAAGGCATGTCCCATGCTCGGGTCTCACTCCATGGCCGGCCTCAGGCCCCCCGGAGATCCCTGAGAAAGCAGGTTGTGGGGCAGGGGCTGCCTGAGGCTCAGGCACCAGCCAGCTGGGGTGGATACTGGCTGAAGAGGGAAGGGGAACACACGTGGGCCAAGCTGCAGGGCTCTGGGGCTCCCCATGGCCTGCCTCGCTGCCTCAGGCCAGCATCCTGGAAGTTCTTAGGAGCTTAGGACAGCCTGGGCCACCTTCTCAACTACTGGGTGAGGCAGTGAGGGACAGCAGGCTCCCCTTTCTGGCCTCCGTAGGTAGGGAGGGATGATGGACTCTCCCTTCTACCCCCGAAACCCTCCATTGGCGCTGCTCTCTGGGCAGAATCTGTATCCACTGCCCCGTGACTGGGCCCAGGCCCCGAGGGACCTCTGCAGAGAAGAGGACAGCTTTTGTGCTGCGGTAGAGAATGCTCCTGGAGGTGCTCTACTCTCTCACACCATTGACCACAAAGTCCTGGCAGTGCCCTCACATCTGGGGGTGGGGGTTGCTTAGGGATGCGTGAGGCCCAAGCACACCCCATCCCCCTCCTCATCGAGGTTTCTCCCAGGGCGGCCTGGATCAGGTGGGTAAGGATGACCCCCAGGGACTGGTACTCCTCCGCCCTACAACCCCTCCTATGGCCCCGCTCTTCATCAGGTCCCCACCCTGGCTTCCCTTTTCATAAACTCCAGAAGAAAAGGAAGGAAAAACCCTAAATAAACCAGACAGAAGCAGCTCTGGAACCAAGAGGAAATAAGCAACGGTGCGTGGAGAGGGTGTGAGGTGGCGGTGGGTGGGGTGGCGGTGGGGAGTGGGTACCTGATGGCATGCAGCACTGGGACACCTTATGAGGGATGGGCCCATTTCTCCCGAGGCGTGTGAGGGATGGGGGGAGGGGTCAGCCGACCCAGAAGAGGAGGATCTCTGGACTAGGCCTGTGTCTTCCTGTGTCCTCCATGGGCCCAGCCAGTCACAGGGAGATGAAATCCATGGCCCGCAGGAGGGGCAGGGAGAGCAGGAGCAGCAGCAGCCAGGAGGTGTCCTGGGCCAGCAGGCTTATGCCCCCACACTTGACCAGTTTGTCTGTGGAGAGAGAGGGGTAGAGCGGCAGAGCAGGAATGGGGGGCAGGACCCAGGCCCAGAGCAATGGTGCGTTTCCTTGGGGAGGCTGTGCCACGATGCTCTTAGCTGGAACCAGGGCCAATCTGGTCTAACAGAACCAGCCACCTATACCACGTGCAGGTCCCTGAGCCCTTGCACTAACATCACATCAAATCTGTACTAAGCATCCTCACAAGAAAACTGTGTGAGGTGGCTGGAGTCAGGTCTTCCGGGCAGGAGGGGGGACTGTGGAGGCCAAGGACTGTCGTCAGTCATGCTGCCTCTGCTACCCGTCTGCTGGCCTGCCTGACCCTCCCCATCCCCCATTCACACTACAGGCGGCGATGCCCCAGGGAGGGCAGAGAGGTTATGGGGCCCCTCTTGGCTCTGGCCCAGCCAAGGAGGCTGACTCACCTCTGAGCACGGAGATATTCTTGCTGGAGAAGGTCGGGGGCTGGCTCGAGAGGCGGAGCTCGCATGTGTACAGCCCCTCGTCCTTGGTGGTGAAGCCGGACAAGTAGAGGACCTTGATGTTGCTTCTGCTGGTGGAGTTGGTGCGGGAGCGGTACGTGTGCTCGGGCACCCCCACGTTGCCGAGGAGCACGTGCTTCTTGGAATCTCGGGTCAGGCTGAACTCGTACTGCATGGGCAGGGTGGTGGTGTTCTCGTGGCGGCAGTCCAGACGAAGGCTCTGGTCCACCAGGCAGGCCGTCAGGCTGGTCACCTTTTGTCCACTGGCCACCTGCAAGACTGGCACCAGCAGTGTCTCCTCTGAGCTGGGGGACCTGCGGAGCAGGAGGCCTCCCGCCACCATGAACCAAGAACAGTGGAGAAGGGCCTGGCCAGGGTACTCAGGGTCTGCGCTGAGTACCTCACCCCACCTCAGCATGCCGCAGCCCCCAGCCCCCCTTCCTCATGCACTCTAGTCCTAGGCCCCACCAGTGTGTCCCAGGGGCAGGAGACCTTGGGGAGTTGATGCAGGTTCCTGGTGCCCACATGGAGATTCCAACCTAATGTGGGGTAGGCTCTGTGAAATGTTTCCAAAACCACCTCAGGCAGGCAGATCAACTAGGTCGCGCAGCTGACTTAGAGATGAAGAATCCCCTTTCCCTCAGTCATCTCTGCCTGGAGAGGCCTTGAGGAGGACCTAGCTTCTCCGAATGGAGGGGGGGCCTTGGAAGCCCAGCCCCGCCCCTTTCCAGTACCTGTCAGCAGGAGGGCGATGCTGATGGTGGGGTTCATGGTGCTCAGTTCTGAATCTGGAGGTGGGAACAGGATGGGAGTTAGCCGGGAGATGAGGCAGGTGTGCCCACACCTACTGCAGGGCTGGGTGCCTGTGGGACACATGCCATAAGGGCCGGGCAAGTGTTTAAGCCCTTCCCTAAACCTGCCCTCTCCCTACTTCCTCGACCGCGACACTGCTGCTTGCTGCTTCTCCCCGGGGAAGGCCAAAGGGAGGCGGACACGCCCTCTGACACTGGGCATCTGTGTGGAACACTTGCCAGTTGGGCAACTTTCAGCAAGTGAACAACTTTGTCATTTCTTCTCCCCTCAGGAAGCAGGGGATTCCTGTTTTGGAATTGTGGTAAAATCCACATAACACAAAACTTACCATCTTAACTATTTTAAGTGTTCAGTTCAGTAGTGTTAAGTTCAATTAGTGTACAACCAATCTCCAGAACTTTTATTTTAATTTTTACCCTCACCCGAGGATTTTCATTGATCTTAGAGAGAGGAAGGGAAGGAGGGAGTGGGAGAGAGTGAGTGAGAGAGAAACACAGATCGGCTGCCTGCCATACCCGCTCCGGCCAGGACAAACCTGCAACCTGCGTGTGTGCCCTGACCCCAATGGAACCAGCTACCTTTCGGTGCAGGGGAGGAGCTCCAACCAACTAAGCCACACCCGCCAGGGCTCCAGAACTCCCCCCCCTTTACCCCCCAGAACTCTTTATCTTGCAAAACTAAAACTCTCTTAAAACAAAAACTGCATCCTAGCCGGTTTTTCTCAGTGGTTAGAGCGTCAGCCAGGTTCAGTTCCAGCCAAAGGGCACGTACCTCGGTTGCAGGCTTGATCTCGGGCCCCAGTTGGGGTACCTGTGGGAGGCAACTGATCGATGTCTCTCTCTCCCCTCCCTCTATTTCCACTCTGGAAAGCAATGGAAAAATATCCTCGGGCGAGGAGTAAAGAAAAAATAAAATAAATAAAACAAAAACCGCTCATTCAGGGACTTCCTAGCTCAGAAGAAAATCCCGTGTCCAGACGGTTCCTGGCATATAACAGATGCTCAAAAGACACTGAATGAATGAAAGAATCTGAGCTCTGGGTAACCACAGGGTTGTGATGTCATTAAGAAAAGTGACAACTATCCGGCCCCACGCTCCACAGCGGGGCCTGCACACTGCCTGCCCTCCTGGCGACCGCGAGGCTGGGGACGGCGTCCTGCGGGGCCAGGCGCTCCCAGGCAGAACTGTCCTCGCCCCACGGCGAAAGCTGCTGGCTCCAGACGTGGGGCAGCGACGGCGCCCTCCCACCGCCCGCGTCTGCCTGCGCAGACCAGGCGGTTCCCGAGAGCCGCTGTGCGGGCGGGATTCGCGGGCCTGCAGTTCCCAGTGCCGGCTTCAGCGGCCTCTGCGGGCTCGGCCCTGACTTTCCCCCCTTTCAGTCTAGGCCGGCAGGGCGACCCGGCAGGTACCCTAGACGCCCGCGCCGGGCTCGCCGGGAGGGGCG